TTAGTTCGGTTTAATCTGGGCATGCTTTTAGACTTAAAATCGATATTGATTTCCTCGAGCCACCTGTATTTGTATATGTGCAGCGCACGTGAAGTCGAATGACAAGAACCAGCTAGATGAGGGCATCCATTCGAAACACATATCTAATCTTCTATGTGTGGGATCCTTTTTCTGTTCTGAATTTGTTGTTCGGGCGAGCTTGTTACTCTCTACATGGATTTCAAGTTGGATGAGAGCTACACGCTGAGCAAGATCTCCATTTGGACTGGCGACGGCTTCCACAATCTCAAGGCAATTCCTCTTTTCTGAAGATAGCAGCGAGGTGCCCAGTAAGAGCACACACGTATCTCTGAATTATAAGTTATGATATGTGCTCTATGTTGAGATCACATATCAATTGTTTTTGAACAATACTCAGGTTAGTTTGGTATAGTTCTTACATGTATTGCCATCTCAGCTTACCAGGATCCTAATTTTTGTAGTTGTATACTTATTGTATGTCTGCATATATGTTTGAATTGAACACCTGCTGCTGTTTTCGTGGTCCGCACACTTGCTTGAAATATAATCAACTTAGTTGGTTGTGATCTTGTTCTTCGAGTGAACTATGGTTTAATCAAATGCATTTGGTATTAACTCATGTCGTCTTCTTAGTACTGTAAAGTGCAAAATGATCATGTCATATGTCTCTACTAATTGCTGAACGCTAACTAACTTGAATATAATGCATTGTTCTGTGGATAAGGAACCTTATGAATTGATGCATTGAAATTAATTGTAAGAAAACGTCTTGACAGGAAAACGAGAACTACCAGCATCTTATGGTTATTCATCAAATAATAGTACATCAACCAATGTGTAGGTGGTGGTCTAATCCAAATGTTAGGCACAAAATGAGAATTATGTGCACAGTTGGTCCCTCAACTAACATAAGGGAGATTATCTAGGATGTTGCTGAGGATGACATCAATGTGGCTTGGCTAATATGTCACATGGAGACCATGCATCGCACCAGAAAGTTATTTGAATTGGTGAAAGAGTTGAGACCATGCTTGTAGACTCTTATGGACGAGTCAGTTATAAGTCTGGCATGCACATGCAAGCACATGATTTTGCTCTATCAATAAATATTGTAATTAAAACTTTTTATGCCCACCCTTCTTTCATCATATTCCAACTTATTTGCTCTGATATAAGCTAGATTTAACATATTCAGGGCCCAGATATTAGTATTCAAGATTTGCCTCATTGAAAACTGGTCAGGAGTTCACGTTCACAATAAGCAGTGATCCTTTCTACTACTTAAGGGATTGAGCAAAAGTACTCATACTTTTCTGTCCTAACAAGAAATTATTGAAAAAAGATACCTCTCATTCAGGTATTTTCTATAAATGCACATTTATTTATAACAATAGCACCGGGATGAATGTTTGTTCCTCATGATATTTTTAATTCATTTAACCTCTTGAATAAAGATTCTTGAAATTTGACTTCTGAAGTTGTGCCACTCCTTGTGTTGAACCAGATTATCAACGGTACAGTCAAAGAAGCAACATTGAACATGAAAATAAGGCACTCTGCCAGTGTGCGTGCATGATCCAGTAGCATGTGTTTAATAGTAGCCACTATTATGTGGAATAGTAGCAGCTTCCTCCATTTATGCCAGTATTTGATATACTTACCAAAGTTTTAAGGGGGCAATCTTAGGAAGACATCCCAGTTTGTGCGAGAATTTCATACGCATATTAGACAAAAGATGTATCGTGTTTTCCTTAGGTTGCATTGCAACACTTCAGCGTCTGCTCTTGGTTCTTTTACCATAAAATTTGTAAGGTCCCTTATGTTTGATTTATTGTATAAATCATTTGAGACTGCCCTGCATGCATGATTACTCACTATATTTATGTTCATCTGATATTATGTTCCTGAATCATTTATGAGTTGATGTTAAAAATGCATATTGTGCATCGATTTAATCTTTGTCATGCCTTGTTATATTGTTCAGAATTTATAAAATACAAATTCAAACTTTATACTCAAACGAATTTTACGTGTGTATTGGTGGAGACGTGCGTTGCACGTGCACGCTTACTAGTTTTGCAAAGATCAATTCTCCGTCGAAGTCCACGGTGTACTCCAAATCGCAGGATCTAATTAACAATCCATCCCAGAGAAAAAGTTTCGACATGGCCCATGTGGCCGGTCGAGTCGGCGAAGAGGGCCATGCTGCCGAAAATGAAGAGCTGACAGGGCACAAAGGTCATGCCGGTCCCAACCTGCTCGCCGATCTTGATCCCCATCAAATCTCTGCGATATCTTAGCGGGACTTGTATGGGGCACCAATGACGGAGCTAAATTCGGTAGATTTTGGGTAGGGGGTCCCGAACTAAGGGTCTTGAGATGATGATAACGAAGACACAAGTTTTACCTAGGTTCGGGCTCTCAAGAGAAATAAAACCGTACATCCTGCATGTGTTTTATTGCTTTCAAATGGGGTACAAAATACAGTCGATCTACCCTAAGATTGTTGTGTGTCCTTTACGAGCCCTACCCCTCACTTTATATAGGTACGTGGGGTCTAGGGTTACATCCTAGTCAGCTATGTATAAAGAGGATGAGTTGTAGACGACTTCTAAGATCTGTATACATCAAGTGGTTGGGAGCCTTCCTCATATGTCGTGGGCTGCGTCGACGTGACCCACCGGTGAACCGACATGGGGGCCTTCGGTCCGGCCCACCAGGCCGGGAGACGATTTGTCGAGAGACACCCCCTCTCCCCAGCTGGGACACCGTCAATGACGGCGGTGCACCTTCGGCTCGCTCGTGTGTTAGTATCGTCGCTAGGTGGCTCATATACATAGTTGTAATTTTATTACCTTAGTGCTTTGTATTATCATGATGGATTATAAATAGACCGGAAGTTTCTCCTAAAAAAAAGAAATATGTTGCAACCAATTTTCACGGGATCGCACAAGGTATCATCTAATTTTACCTCTTTTTTTAAGAAAAAAATGCCCGGCGGCTCATAGACCAGGTCTAAACAGTCGTCAAGGCGTCGGCTCTTGTGGGTGGAGACTGGAGAGATGGGGGCGTGCGTCGCCTACTTCTCACCTTCCCATCTCCTACCCGCCACTATAAATTCTTCTAGTTGTCTTGCCCCTCAGCTCCGTCTTCCCCGAGCGAGACCCAGATCAATCTCCGTCCCAGAGCAATTCTGCCTCCGCTTCGTCTTGCCCTGCCTCGCATCGGAAGGTTCGCCGCTGCAAACCGTGCTCACACTTTCATGCACCCACTCCCACGCACTGCATCTAGTCTTCTGCTGTTACTGCTCCCTGCGGCGTTTGGTCGAACGGTTGGTGGGTCGGGTCGGGTCGAGTGGGTGTGCTCCCGACGCCGCGGATCTGCGGCTCTCTCTGCCCCAGTCGCCCGGTGGATGCCGCGGTTAGCGGGATCCCGCCCGCGGTGTTTCCTGGAGATCCCGCCCCTCTTGTCTGATTCTATGGGTTTTGGGTTTTTGGGTGGGAATGGGTTGCCCTGCTTGCTACCTTTGATCAGAATTTGTCCGGAAAAATGCCCCTTTGGCGGCAGTTTTGTTTCATATTTGACGGATTGCCGCGTTGTCGTGTTGGGAGTAGTGAAAGCTTTCCCTGGGTTTTGTTGGATTTGGGCTCTGGCGCTCGCTTTTTGTGTGGATCTGAGGAGATCTCGTGGCTTATGAAGTGTCCCAAATTCGATAGGTTTTGGGTGGCAATGGGCAAGGGTTAAACTTGTGTGGTCTGGAAAGTCCATTTGGTTAGCTCAAGTGTTAAGGTCCTTTTTTAGTCGCTATAAATTGTTTATTTGGGATGCATTGGGGAAAACTCTGTTCTTGGGGCAAACGCAAACTTAGTATACTCTTTACTGTGGATTTGAATCTTGGTGGCGAAAATTATTTAAACATTGGATGTAGTTGAAGTAATATGTGCTGGTGCATAATATTTGGGATCTGGTGTTCTACTCAGATTTCAACAACTTTATATCTTATTGCTTTTGAGGATCAGACAACTTGATTATATACCTTCTTAATTGTCCTTCTTAGTAGTAGGATTTTTTAGTGACAGTGCTTGTACTGGAGGTTTTAGAAACAAAATGACGCTTGGACTAAGTACCTGGCCACATATTCCCGAGTCTATTTGGTTGGCTCAGTGCGTCAGCTGTTAAAATGTTCCTTTGTACTCCTATTTATTTAGTTTGTCTGCGTGTGATGATGAGTAGAAAGCTCTGAGCTTAGTGGGAAGTCAGCATACATCTGTATATTTACGTGGATTTTACTTGGAGGAAACAAATGTGATATTTTGTTTGGGCATTGTTCTGGTTTAGTCGCCAGAGTGTGCAGCAAGAACTGAGTATGCGGGTGCATCGTATTTGAGATCTGGTGTTCTGCACAGATGGCAGCTCCTATTGTATACATTTTGGGCTCCTTTGATTCAAAGGATTTTCATAGGAATTTCGGAGTATTACAATCCTCAGGAATTTTTCCTGTGTTAGCTCTTTCCTATATCATTACGCAAAAAAAGAAACTCTTCCCTGTGTTGCAGGGGTACAGAGATGCATTTTTTCATCAGCTATAAGTTATGTCAGTAGCTTGTTTGAAATCATAAAAAATACTCGCTTAATACTATTTCAATAGAAAGTGCTTTCTAGTTGCTATGTTGGATGTTAGGCTTATGCTTACATATCATATCAACATTTCTGTCATTGTGCTAACATGATTTCGTTTTATTCTGGTACTTTGATGACTAGTAGGGTGCTTACGATTTATGGTTTTCTAAATAGTACTCCCTCCGTCCCAAAATTCTTGTCTTAAATTTGTCTAAATACGGATGTATCTAGTTATGCTTTAGTGTTAGATACATCCGTATCTAGACAAATCTAAGACAAGAATTTTGGGACGGAGGGAGTAACTACTACTGTGGTTATATCATAGGCTAATGCATGTTAATTTGCAGGGGAAGTAGATCATGGCGACGGGTCAAATTTTCTCGAAAACCACCCAAGCATTATTCTATAATTATAAGCAACTCCCTATACAACGGATGCTTGATTTTGACTTCCTCTGTGGTATATTCTCCCTATCATTAGTTTAAAAGCACTCTATAGTGTTTCTGTTTTGTTTCTTTCTTAACTGAATTTGCACTGCTTGATAGGGAGAGAAACACCTTCTGTTGCTGGAATAATCAATCCTGGTTCTGATGGGTTCCAGAAACTTTTCTTTGGACAAGAAGAAATTGCTATTCCGGTTCATCCTACGTGAGCTCTCTTCTCCCTCATATATCTTGTTTGATTGAACAACTGTGCAGTTCTTATTTCAGATGGAGGGATGTTGCATTAGCACTTTGCTAGTGCAGCATTTATGTGTGAACAATTTATCTATTCATGTATCTTTTGTAGAATTGAAGCTGCTTGCAATGCACACCCAACTGCGGATGTATTTATCAACTTTGCATCTTTCCGGAGGTTAGTTATAGAGTTGATAATCTGTCTGGGAAATACTGCATGATCTGGAGCGACTACAATTTCACTGTATTTTCTAAATCTGCAGTGCGGCTGCTTCTTCAATGTCAGCTTTGAAGCAGCCAACTGTCCGAGTTGTAGCCATTATAGCAGAGGGTGTTCCTGAATCAGACGCAAAGCAGCTAATTAGCTATGCACGTGCTAACAACAAGGTAAGGATTATATGTCACCAATGTTCCGGATATTGGTAACTGGTACCATCTCGCTCGGGTACTGAATAGGAATTAATCTGTGAATCAGCCATTTAACTGAATTTATCGGTAAACCGTTTATCGGTAGGTTAACTAGGGCCATACCAAACATATTGCTAAATATTTGTGTTGTCCATATTCTGCTTGTCCCTCTACTATCCTTTTTTGTCTTTTCTTTCTGCATAAGTCACATTTGGGCCGTCATCACCGCTGCTAGGCTGAAGCCCATTCAGTTCACTATGGCTCCAGCGATGGGTGTGTTAAAGATACCCCGTGTAGCCACTCTCCTTTCTCTCCTCCTTCCTCTTCTCCTGCCGCCACCTTCTTCTTCTCTTCCCCTTCCCAGAGCACGTCCCCAGCTCCTTCTTCCTCTCATCCTCTGTCTCACACCGAGCGCCTATCATCTCCCTGCTTCTCTCCACTCTGAGGGAGCTGCCCCGCTGTAGGATGCACTGGCCAAAGGGTTGGTGGACTGCGCCTGTGGCTGCTCGAGCGGGAGGGGAGAGCAGGAAGAAGCATGAAGGAGAGGGGAGTGGGGAGGTGCGTGCCGCCGGCGCAAGCTGCCCAATCAAACCAGTTAACTGACTCACCAAGATTTTTTGGTCTGACAGCCGATTAATCTGCTTGTCAGACTGATTACTTGGCTCGCGCAGTTAATTCAATGAGAAGGGGATTTTCGTATCGGCCACCCTCCGAGTAGGGATTAACTTGCCGATTTAACTTGTATGTCGGCCGATATTTTGAACACTATGTCAAATGGAATTACTCATCCCATAATATAGGAGGACCATTTTCTATCAATAGTTACTACTACATAACTTGTTCAAGGTTTTGACAGTGTAAAAGTTGCCAAAATCAAGAAAAATATACTGGAACATCACACCTATAATATAAGATGATCCAACAGAGCGATAGGGAAAATGCGACTTTGTGTGCCCTGTGTGGAAAAAACAAATAGTTGAGTCCATATATATA